TTCCACCATGACTGATGATCATTTGGAAGTGTGCTTGAGGCTGGCTGTCAGCAGCTACTATGCATCTCTGGCTCATTCCATTTAGTGCAAGTCATCAGAGTAAACTCAGGTAATGGCAAAACATGTGCATAGTTAATTGCATTGTGCAATATGGAAAAATGCGGTTATGCAAGGTACATAAATATATATTGTACATATAAAGAATTCTCAATGCACTTATGAATAAATGTCATAAATAAATATATATATTGCATTTTTGCAGTTGGTAGATCATTTTGACTTGATCATTTTATAAGTAGCTCGCATGATGAGAAAGTGTGAGCACCCCTGTCCCAAGTATTAGGTTCATTGGGTCAGCGCATACATACTGCACAGCTATACTTCGCAGGGCTCAGAGGGAGCTGTGGTTCCACATCGGGCTGCAATCTGCAAGGTCTGCAGTTGGAAACCATCATCCATCCACTGGGAGAAAGACAGGACTTTCTACCCCCGTAAGAGAGATGCAGTCCCAGACACCCACAGGGCAGTTCTACCCTGCCCTACAGGTCCGCTGTGAGTTGGCATTGACTTGACGGCAATGATTGTGCTTTGATTTTATAAATCATCTTACTGGGGGCTCTAACAGCTCCCAACATTCCATACGTCAATGGTATCAAGCACATTTTTACATAAGTTGCCATCATAATTTTCAAAACACTGTCTTTCTACTTGAGCCCTTGGTATCAGCTCCCCCTCCCATCCTTGTGACCCCTTGAAAAATGAAAAATTATTGTTTATTGTTATTTTCATATCTTATACGATCCGCTGTCTCCCTTCACCCACGTTTCTGTTGTTCGTCCCTCTCGGGGAGGGTGGGGTGTTATATGTCGATTGATTCCCCTTTTCTCCCCCTTCTCTCCCCACCCATTATTGTTCCTGAGGAGTTTATCTGGCTTTGGTTTTTCATATCCCAAGCACTATGCTAGACACTGGGGCTGAGAGACGGGCTGGCAGCCTAGCGGGTGAGGCAGGCACATCACAAAGTGGTCCAGGTGCTTTAATACTAAAGCACACTGGAGAGAGGGCGGGAGGGGGGAGCAGGGAGAGACTGGGGAGCACACAGGTGAAGAGCACCTACACCTTAAGGGCTCGTCGTTGTCGATGATGGCAACCCAGTCTTTCAGGATGAGTACATGGCTCTGCAGAAGAAACGACCCGGAGCTCTGCTCCTGTAGAGATGGCAGCCTAGGAAGCTCCATGGGACAAGGCTGAGCAGAGTCAACGGGACGGTGCGTGAAAACAAACACTCGCTATCCAGTGGAGAAGCGCAGGGTGTGGGAAGGAAGTGCAGCAGCCAGGCTCAAGAGCGGCTCCGAGAAGAGATGGGAAGAGAGTGGAGAATGACTGCCAGGTTTCTGGCTTTGGGTCACCAGATCAAAGGTAACTCGAGGTAATGGATTAAAAAGTAGGGGAATTTGGGGATCAGGGTGAGGTGGCGGGTCATCTCTTGGACCTGCAGAGTCAGCAGTGTCCCTCGGGTCTGAGTGTGAAACAGAGTCAGCAGTCAGCACAGAGGTGACACAGTGGTGCTTCCGTGGTTGAATTCTCACCTTCCATGCCCAGGTTCACTTCCTGGCCAGTGCATGTCATCATGCTCAGTGACCACCTGCCTATCCATGGAGGCCTGCGTGTGGCTACCACGACGAGCAGTGGGGCTTCCAGGACTAGACAGACTAGGAAGAAAGGCCGGTGAGCTACTTGCGAAAACCAGACGATGAACGCCTCATAAACCACAACAGTCCAATCTGCAGCCATCCTGGGGTGGCCCAGGACCAAGCAGAGCACTTTGCTCTGCGGGGTGTGGGGATACCCTGAGCTGGCAGCCAGCAGCAGCAAGCATTCGGGTGGGCAGCTGAATCTATGAGTGAAGCTCACCCAAGGAAAACCCATACGGAAAGAAGAGCCAGGCTTGGGAAGAGGCCTGAGAAACAACAACTTGGAAGTGACTGGCAGACCCACATAAAGCCTCGGCAACTGCTTTGAAGGAACAACGGAGAGAGGCCTGCAGAGAACAAGAGCAGTGTCTGGGAGGGTCTTAAAGGACTGAACAAGCCTTACCACTGCATACGGTACATGACAGGCCCGGAGACTTCACAGCCCTACCAAGTTTAAAAGTATCCATGACGGCGCCCACACTTTCCGCTCACCAAAAGCACCCCCACCCCAACGTCCCATGACGGTGCCCACACTTTCCGCTCACCAAAAGCACCCCCACCCCAACGTCCCATGTTTGGGTGCTGGAGAAGGGCTTTTGGGTGGCACCATGTAAGCTCTTTTATGCACTCGCTCCTTCTGGTCTGACCATCACTGTTACAACTCTTGCTGAGAGCCTCACAGATCAGAGCGGGGCCATCAGAGGGAGAACGTGAAGGAAGCAGGAGGACTGGAAACGGGAGACACATGGAGAAGTGGCCTGGTTGGCGTTCCATTGTGGGGACTGCAATCAATGACATGGGGGGAAAATGTTGATGAATTATTAAATGGGACACCACTGAGCTCTGCAAAACCTTCACATGATTCACAATGAAAATGCAAAAGGCCAAGAAAGCCCTGAAGAGGCCAGTCCGACGATGCATGCACGGTGGCAGCCATGGACGTGGGAAGAATGAACCATGGCAGTGGGACGAGCACCAGCCTGCTCTGAGCCTTCCTTACCTGTGCCAGACCTCAGGGGGCGGCTCCGAGCGAGCAGGCCTCAACAATCCCAAAGGCTGGAGGAGTGAGCTCTGAGAGGTCCATCCACTGACCACGTCCTCCAGTAGAATGAAACACAGTCTCCCGGTCACGGGCTCATTCCTGGAGCTCGAGTCAGAGTGGTGTCACCAATTTACCACTGGCAACCACAACGGGATTGGGACCTTGCTTGACAGGTGATTTACTGACTTGGGGGTGGAGGAGGGTGAGGACTTGTGGATGGGCTGCCTCCACGAAGCGTGTACAGCAGTGGTTCTCAACCTGTGGGTCGAGACCCCTTTGGGGGGTCAAATGACCGTTTCACAGGGGTGGTCCAAGACCGTCAGAAAACACATTATTTCCGACTGTCTTAGGAACCGAGACACCATTCCTCTATGACGGTCTTAGGAACCAAGACACCATTCCTCTATCTGTCTCCAGTCGGGTTCACCCACATGCAGATACGCCCACATCCAAGTACCTGGCGTTAAGACTGTTACCCATGCTACACCATGTTTCAAGAATAATTTGTCATTAGAAATAAATATTTCACAATATATAGTGACACGTTTTGTGATGAATCACTATGCTTTAATGGTGTTCACTTTGTAAAAATGAAAATACATCCTGCCTATCAGATATTTACAAGATGATTCATAACAGTAGCAAAATTAGTTATGAAGTAGCAATGAAGATAATGTTATGGGTGGGGATCACCACCACATGAGGAACTGCATGAAAGGGTCGCAGCATTAGGACGGTTGAGGACCACTGGACTGTCAATGAAGAAGCGGTCAACTCTTCAGGGAACCAACCCAAAGGAGGCAGTAGCCACCCGTCTGTGTGCTGACGTGCTGATGAGCACCCCGCGCCCGAGCAACCCAGACGAGACCCAGGGTTCTGAGCAGGGGCTCCACTGGGTAGCAGCACGTG